CATTCTCCCGGCCGTCCGGCCGGCACGCTCACGCCGGCCGGAGATGTAACACCAGTAGCGAGCCCAGGCGGGAGTCTGCACTCGAGCTTTGCCACGACGCAGCTGACACTTAATGTGCCCGATTTCACCATGTCTGCACGCCCGCCCCCGCCTAGAAACAGCAAACTTTCAGATCCTCCCCCAGCGTCATCGTCACCGTCCGCCGCGACTATGATGGGCCAGATCCATGTCAAGCTCATCGAGGCTCGCGCGCTCAACGTGTCCTCTTCGTCATCTCGTCCATACGTAGTCGTCCAGTTCGAGCACAACGAGTTCATCAGCCGCGATCCCATCGACGAGACCGACAAGCAAGTCAACAGCATCCCTGCTCTTGCAGCCCCGGGTACTACCACTACTACTGCTGCTGTCTCTGCACTGGGCAAGGCTCTTGAAGCCGCCAACGGCCACCGCTCGGCCTCGTCTCCTAATATCTCATCGCTCGTGTCATCAACAAAGCGATCCAGTAGCGACAGTAGCAACGGCAGCAAGAACGGTGGCCTATTCTCTCGTCCCTCATCACACAACCCTGTCTGGAAACATGGCGTATCCTTGTGAGTATCCACACGACAGGAGTAGCTTACGCTGGATTTACGCTGGTCTAGCGATGTCACCTGCTCGGACTCGTTAATCACTTTCAATTTGTACGATCGATCCACTGAGGACCAGCCATTCCTGGGCACCTTGCAAATCAAGCCCATTCTCAAAAACGACCATACCGTTGACCAATGGTACAAGTAAGTCGCCCAGCAATTACATTCCGTGTTTCGTGTCCCCGCAGGAGCAAGCTGATGTGGAGGGAATTATTTGTGAGATTTTCATTGGGCATCCATCCGTCTATCGTCACGCGACATTTCATTTCGGCATGTATTCAACAAGTCATACTAACGTTGGTCTTTTCTCACACGGACGGTATTTCTAGTGCTTCTAGAGACGGTATGTATCAACGGGACGGATGCCTCATGAAAACTTTCAGAAATCCTTGTTCCCTCTGCATCTGTCGCTCTCGGTGTTTGGATGGTGTCACTATTGCTTTTTTTGATCGGAAATCTCACATTTCATCCCAGGCTCTCACCGTACGAGAAAGAGGTCGTAACGGGTGAGATACGAGTGCAGGTCACTTTCGAGAAGGCTAAGGTTGGTGCGCTCAAGTCGCTAGATATTCAAAACTTACTCAAGTTATGTAGAACAAACATTCCGTATCGCCGAAAGATTTCGAGTTTATGAAGATGATTGGACGTGGGACCTTCGGTCGTGTATTCCAAGTGCGGAAGAAGGACACGAGACGAATATACGCTATGAAGATCCTCTCCAAAAAGGAGATCGTCGCTAAGAAGGAGGTTGCGCATACCATCGGCGAGCGGAAGATCCTGCAGCGCAGCCTTGAATGTCCTTTCCTCCTTGGTCTGAAGTTTAGCTTCCAGACTGAAGGGGATCTATACCTGGTCACCGACTTCAAAAGCGGTGGTGAGCTCTTCTGGCACCTGCAACGAGAAACGCGCTTTTCGGAGGAACGTGCGCGGTTTTACGTGGCAGAGCTTGTGCTTGCACTAGAACACCTGCATAAATACGACATTGTGTACAGGTGAGTCATATTCTTCCGTGCTTACTCCGGTTAATTCCTCCCGCAACAGGGATTTGAAACCAGAGAATATCTTGCTCGATGCCACAGGTCATATCGCGCTGTGCGATTTTGGGTTGTCGAAAGCAGATCTACGGGGAGACGAGCTTACGAATACGTTCTGCGGAACAACAGAATACCTTGCGCCGGAGATACTGCTTGACGAGCAGGGGTACAGCAAGATCGTGGACTTCTGGAGTCTCGGCGTGCTTCTGTTCGAAATGTGCTGCGGATGGAGCCCATTCTACGCGGAGGACACTCAACAGATGTACAAGAACATTTGCTTTGGGAAAATCCGCTTCCCGAAGGGCTACATATGTGACGAGGGGAAGCTGTTTGTGAAGGGAGTGCGTATAATTTTCCTCACGATTTTTCCTCATTTATCCACCTGTCATCCATGGCAGCTGTTGACCAGAAACCCTAAAAACCGTCTCGGCGCCCATCGTGACGCGGTGGAGTTGAAAGAACATCCGTTCTTCAAGACCATTGACTTCCAGCAGCTGTATCTCAGGCGCGTGACACCCCCATTCATCCCCATCGTCGAAGACGACGAAAGTACCACGAACTTTGATCCAGAGTTCACGACCGCAGACATCAGTGAAATACTCGGTGTTTCCGATGATGAATCGGAGTATGATGAAGCAGACCCGAGCGACGGCTGGTTGGGTTCAGGTATTTCGTTGACAGAGCAAGTTATTCGGCCGGGGCCACTCGGAATGAAGCCGGGTAGTCCAACAGTGTCTCTCGGCACTCATTCCTCGTCCAACGGCACTGCAACGAACGGCGCAGCAGCGAACGAGAGCAATAGCGACTCGTCAAAGAAAGGTAGCGACGGAGAGAAACAGCCGAAAGGCATTGAAATCAAACAGAAGAAGAAGCGTCGCAGTCCGAAGGGGTCGCCGCCCCTAACCAGCAGCGTGCAAGACAACTTCCGTGGCTTCACTTTCAGTGGGGAAAGCAGCGTCATCAACGGTCTGAGTGGACGACGAAGAAGCAATTCGGGCGATACTGACTATTTGCCAACGCCAACAACGGACGATGAGATTAATGATACTGGACACAGTGCTGGCCGCTACGCGCACCATTCGCGTCGTATGCAAGAGAAAGGTTTGGGGTTCACGGGCATTGGGGACGACTAGAATTGTTGCCAGGTCGAGTTCAATCGTTACAGGCAAGCTTTTTCGCCGAGATCAATGTAGGTGCGACTATACTGATTTGCTTGTTGTTGTAGAGGACAAGAGAGGACCTACCGTTATGCGCTTATATGATGACGCTCTCCTTCAGCGATCCCATCATTTTTTTCTTCGCAATTGCAATTTTTACATACATTATCACGCCATTTTTATTTAGTTTTTCACCAAGGTACACAGCAACGTATTTCTGTATTCTACTCGTCGCAGCATGGATTTTTTTTCCCTTTTCATTCCCCTTGACTTTGGCTCATGCATCTAATGTAGGGCGCCGCTCCGTTCACGAGGTCACTTGCGTTTACATGTACAGTTGTTGCAAAGCGTCTCGCTCTATTTATATGGCGCCCTTTCTAATCATTGTTGTGGTGTACTATAGATTTGTTCCGCTTTTTACAGGGACCCCGCTGTAGATGACGATAGATCGGCAGCGAGGAATATTTATATATGAAAGGTGTAATGTGTAGTCGGACGATTGTGTGGGCGCCGGCATGAAATGCGGGATATCGCGCTAACATAGATGCCGCACTGATTCAACTTGTATTGCAAGTCGAGGTATATACTCAACGTGTCTGTATTACATAGTACAAGGTCACGATTTTGAAGGTGCGGACTGCGCAGTTGCTGCTGCAGCTGTAATCCCCGCCTCAGCTTTGGCTGCTTCCCTTCGTTCTCGTTCCGCGGCCTCCCGTTCACTCTCCGCTAATGATGCCGCCATGTGCCTCCTCCATTCTTCAGCACACTGCATAAATACGCCAGCCAACAATCCCGCGCCGACTGCTCTTCGCATTGTTCTCCAGGGCAGTCGGTCTGCGCCGGATTTGAGCACCGTTCAATTACTTCGGCACAGAGGCATATTATCGGATAACTCACAAAACAGACTAAACAGGAGCGTCGTGTGCGCGCATGCAACGACGTCAGATATGTGGGACAAGCTCCAAGGAAGTATCCGGCGGTCTTCAAGCGTCTTGCCTGCCCAGTTGATGCCCTGTTCCGTGAGCACGAACGTAGTGGCAAAAGACCCAACGAGTCCGCCTGTACGTCCAGCAGAACGCATCGCAGCCAGCATAACTTTGTAATTCTTGGTTTTGTGGTAGAAATACCATCCGCCATATGTGTGCGGTGGGCGGTGCACGTTTTCGGCGCGAAATTGCAGTGAAGCCATTTTTCCGCCTCGCCTGAGGCCAATGAGGCAGCCTATGGTGAATGCACCACCAGAGATGATGCCAGTGCGCTTCCAGTCGACCGGTGTGTGCTGCGCGGAAAGAATAACATCGTCCAGACTTTTTTCGAAAATTGGCATCCCCAGCCTGTGAGAGTAGAGAACAGAGAGAGGCAATGATAAAACTATTGAGTATCGTTTGAACGACACCTCAAGTGGGGAGCCGCAATTCCACTGATAATGATGTGCTAGCTGATGATCAATCAGTTTCCTAATATAGCGAGCATGGTCATTCTCGCGAAACTCGAGTGACCACGCAAATCTCCTCTTCCACCGTTCAGAAATTCACCATTCTTGATGTGCAGAGACGTTTTTCAGCATAATAAGAACAGTTCTACGCACGCATTTTTTTGATAAAGGTCGCAGTAGCTCATATCTGACACTCAAGTCCATCATCCTGAGTCATCAGAGAAAAAAATTGAAATTTGGCTTGCGTAGAATCGAAGATATTATTGTTCTGAGCATATCGGTGTATAAATCATGTCCATATCTGTTGTCGTCGAGGAGGAGATTCAAAATCGATGAGAGCTATCCTGAAGACCATATTTGGATATATGAGTCATTACCTTTGTGTAGCGACAACACATTATATGTGATTTTGAATTAGAAAATAGTAGATTAAGCCTCTAAAATCATTTGAAGTGCCATAAAGATATTTAAAATGCTGTTTATCGAAGTTACGAGTATAAACAGTGCAGGAAGGAGAAATACAGAACATGGGTCGATCGTCCATCATTGCCATCAGCTGTCGATCGCGCTGGTGGCCAAGGATCGGCGTGGTCAAGAATTTCTCTTCCGCGGTGACAATCAGCTGATTAAGCAGTACGCCGAATCACCCAGCGTTGCGGCTCCCCACCTCAAGACCGTGCGATCAATGGATGACCTGGACCCATGATGCATGATGCACAATATTACAATCATCCGAATACCCAGCGGCTCAGTGGTCTAGTAGTATGATTCCTGCTTCGGGTGTGTCCGTCCGCTTTCGTAAGGAAGTTCTATGCAGGAGGTCCCGGGTTCAATTCCCGGCTGAGCCCTGGCTGAAGCTGACGTTTATTTAATGGTTTTTACCGGTGAGATTAGTGGTGCAATATTCACAGTCACAGTATATCTCTAAGACCGTTTTGGGTGGAGGTCTCGTGTTAAGGTCTGCCTACGGGAGACTAGTATATCTCCATGGCAAGGCTGTATATACTTTTATCTTTAGATACAGTACACAGCTTGTAAAATAGATTTGCATAGTATCAGACGTATGTCACTTGAAAAGCCCAAGCATACATTGAAAGTTTCGTGACATTATCTGGCATTGAAATCGTGACACTGCGGTCTTCGTTTGTTGTCCAGTTCAAGGGGCCTTTCGGACCTCCCTTCGTTAAAAGTGTAATGCTATCATCTGGGAGCAGAGGCAGGCGCTTGTATATGGTCACTTCGTTTTCCGATGGTTCACCCAAAGAAACAATACAAAAAGTGTCGGTAGTCGTAAGGAAGCGAATGTCCTCGACCTTAACAGAGGAATTGGAAGAGACGTCCTCTGGACCAGGAAACCAATACGTCTGCAAGCACACATCAGCGATCAGATGAAAAACGAAGACAAAACAATACGGACGGTGTTGTATATGCACGGCCCAGCAAAACTGAGCCAGTCTCCAGTTTCAAGCAGCCCGTTCGTCATTGCGGGAATGATTTCACCTTCGGCTGTCGGACCGACGTCGAGAAGACTAGGGTTGTAACCAGTTAGATCCTTGGAAAATGCTCAAAACGAAATCTTACTAGTTGCCGTTCTTCGAGGCTACATCGACAAGAGTCCTCACGATTGTGGTACCATTCTTGTATTCGCTCGCAGTAGTGGCGCTGTTGAGGCCATAGCTAAATGGATCCATGCCTTCGTTGGTTTCCCAATCTCGCGTTTGCGTGACGCCTATCGTCTCGTACTCGGGAGTATCGAAATCAGGGACTGCGGCGCAACCTATATGGTGTGTGCTATGAGATTTCAACGCGTTGAGAACCGAGATCAACGTACGATTGTTGATAGTGACCTGTCTGTTAGCTTGGTATGCGTACGTGTAGAATTCTGCTGCAACTTCTAGTGTTCGATTTGGCCCTCCGATGTCGCACCACTGTTTATGGCGGTCAGTGCACTACCACTACAAAACGAATTGTACATCTGATTTTCTCACCATGATGTCTGTATTATATTCTTTGACTAGAGTTAACATGTGCGGGTACTGCAGGTCGTTAATGTAGTCGTAGTCGGTTATATTGACGAGCCCAGTGTAGGGTTCGAGTTCAGACGAATTGAAGGCGTCATGCGCGAGCCCTCCCGGCCAAGTACTGAAGCCGTATTTGGCATAATACGGATTGAACCTAAAACACGTGTAGTGGTGGAAGAGAATAAATGATGAATGAAATACGTACCACTCTGGCAATGAGTAGTAGGTTCCGCCATGCATCTCCGAGGGGTTATTTTGGTTTGCATCCATGAGCTCCCTCACGAAATCACGTCCGGGACCGAGGACCACACTACTGCGGTTTGTGGTGTTTTTTGTATCGAAGAGGGAAAAGCCATCATGGTGCTTCTATACTCAATTAAGCCCACGTGAGGATGATCGCCTTCTGAGTTCAACAACAAAAAAGAACTAACGGTGACAAAAACGAAGTATTTTGCACCAGCTCGATCGAAGAGATCAATCCAAGCCGACGCATTGAATTTCGTAGCGGTGAAATTGGCAATGAAATCATCGTACAGAACATCCTTTTTTGCAGATCAGCCGTCTCCCTGTTAAAGGCTTTCCGGCATAATAAGTACTCACGGGACCGTAGGTTTCCAGATGATGATCCCAGAAAGGGTTGCTCGGTCCCGGGGAACTGTGCAAGTACCAACTGTTGACAGTATGGCATGAAAAATATGAAGGCAGCTGCAAGTGATACTCGAAGAATCCTTACTTGTACCACTCCGCATATGTTTTGTTAGGTGCCTGCGCGGGACATGAGACATGCACCATTCGTAAACATCTTGAATGACTGACCCAAGCAGGAACACTGTATATTCCCCAATGTACCCTAGTGTAGGAGATGTATCCATCTGTACAGCGTGTCAAAAGAAGTGAGTAAAGTACTTACATTATCCCAAATTTTGCAGCTTTCCACTGTCAAAAGAGAAGTCGTCGTTCGTGAAACAAGATATGACACTAACCCAGCTTGGAGCTTGATGTGTCGCAAGCATACTCTCCTCGGGTTCCCACACTTCGATGAGGGGGGCGGCCTGCCAACCCTCAGACTCACCAACAAGAGTCCCCGTCTCGTCGTAAATCTGAATCGTCGCATTCACTCCTGTCTGACTTCCGCGCACAAAGACATCCACTCTGCTCTGATCACCTGGAACAAGTCGCCGAATACGCCCAGGCTCGACAGTCGTAATTCCGTCTCCTATGATGTGCACCGTGTAGTTCGACGAAATGGAGGTGTTCCGGGACAACGTATATGAAGGGAGCAGGTTCGCGACCGTGACTTGGACAGCTTGCGTTTTCTCGCCATCGTACATGGCCCAGCGCGAACCGAAATGGACGCTGCGCACAGCCAGGACAGGCTCAGTATATGTGTCGGATGTCGCAGACGGAGAGTAGTTGAGAGCAAAAAGATGAAGACGTCGTGATGAGTTTGAGGTGTGAAAAGTGATAGAACTAAGCTGAACTTCCGATGAGACTGGCGCAGACCATTGGTAGATCTGGCTCGAGTTCCAATTTTCGCGTAATCCATCCAGCTCGTAGTGGAATGGTCTGGTGGAGAGTATGAGATATCCGTGTAGAAAATATATAGAACAACAAAGGCTCACGTGCGTATTGCTCCGAAATTGAGGAGTGGCCAGTACCACCAGTTCTTCGCGTAAACTAAAGAAAAAGTGAATTACTTGGATAAGAACTCGAGAAAGGTGCATAATTTGGAGCTCCTCGGATGTACCATCCTCGAAGTTAAGGTGGAATGTCGCAGTGAACGCATCTATACGTCGCACGTTGTAGAGTCATGATTCATACAGACTAATCATGTAAACGCACCATCGGAGCCTAAGCTGGAGTCCGCTGAATACAAGAAGTGCATTTCATGGACATACAATGGTGTGTCGAGATCGATAGTTTGTCCCTGGGTAATAACATTATCGTCACCACTTCCCCAAGATGACGGCAGGTCGTACTAGGCAGCGTGCATGAGAAGCCAACGCCGCATGAGAAGCGAGATTTCAGACTGACGATGATGTTGTCGTATGTCCATGGACCAACCGGAAGGTAATCAGCGACGAAGGACGATCCTAGATTGTCGAAGTCGGCAGACCCATTAGTTGATGCAGCTTGGTTGTTAAAGAGATCCGAAAGAGACACGATTGTGCTTGTATACGGGACAACTTTTGTCGCCGCGATGGCGGAGACGAAACAAAGAACCGTTTGGAAATTGGAGATGCGCATCCTAGACGATTCCAAGTGCACTAGACATTTTTGGCTGAAAAGACATTATATATACTCTGGTTTACGACATACCGTCCGACCATCGCAAGAACATGGATAAAGAAAAGCGGAAGAGAAAAATCTTCACCAGGAATGGGCCTCGTGAACAAAACGCACCTGCTCGCAAAGACGATATCGATATCTAACTTCGAAAGAGCGGGCCGTCGGAGCGGGCATCTGAATAAAATGTCTATATGGTATTCACGGCCTACATGTGACTGGAAACACAATTCTACCAGTCATTGAGGTTCGAGCAACCTGGCTTGGAGAGATTAATGCCGCCCCGCAGAAGTTTAGGTAAAACCTTCCCCCCCTCAATCGTGTTGACCACGATGGCCTCGACTTCATGCGCTGTCACTCGTCCATACCAAACTCCGTAACCCTGGGGCATATAAATCTGCAACGGAGAAGTGAATAAAGGTATTATCGACATGTGCGCATAAATACACTCACGATACAGTTGCCTGCAAACTTGTGACCACCGACATGCGAATTTTTGAGAATCAGCGCTCTCTTCTCTTCGCGAACACCCTTCAGTTGCTCAGTGATTTGTCGGTCTTTCTCCTCTACACTTCCTGTAAAAGATTCTAAGTTTGAACCCAACAGAATGGAGGGATCTTCCAACTGCGTGTCGGCACTCCATCCATGCTGCGTTAACGACTGTATAAAGCCTGTAGGAAATCAGAAACAGTCAGAAATTACTCAGGTCGTGCATACCTTGTTCTAAAATGCCGGAAGCTATGTGGCAACGTTTATCCCGCCGCTTATGGGAGCCTGCAGAACATTGACATGAGTTCACGGGGCAGACGAGCCCGAAAAATTGAACATACATAGCAAAATGACACAACTGTAAGGAATGACCCAGGATTTGAGAGACTGATTAGAACCCGGTTTGTTGGCGCGTTGAGGAACGCTAGCATCTAGATATGAACGCCAAAGAGTGGTGGCACCCTCCAGAGACCGGGGGATATCAACGACCACTTTGTAATCGGGGAAAATGAGAACGGTCTGTTTATCGGGATCTTCGCTGAGCGTGGTATGACTACCATTCAAGATAGCAATTTTGCCGGTGTCGTTCGTAGAAAACAGACCCTTCGCAAGCTTCTCTTCCCTCCGCGCTTCCGCTTTGGCAGGCTTACCGGGGTACACGGCCGACAGGTAAGCCGCGAGAGAATCCGTCTCTTCTGTTACTTCTCGCTGCCAGTCGGCTTTCCCAGTAGATATCACAACCTGCAATAAACGTCATGCCACCAATCATATTCACATGTACTTACCTGCCGAGAGTAAGGTTTGACTGAGCCCAGGAGTTTCGTCTTCATATCTACATCAAACCTGGGATATTCCTCATGACCTGACATGGAAAATAAGACTATATACACTGAAGAGCAAATACTAGACGGTATCTACCCACCTTGATCACATGGTTCTGCGCATCCTCTACAATCTGCATCGGTGATAGGGACATGGGAGGCAGACAACTCTGTGGCGAGGCTATTGCCATTGATGCTTTGTCCCAGAATCGTCGTTTTGAGGCTGCGGAT